CTGTGTCTGAAACAGTTGTTAGCTGGTATTTATGATTTTCCTGCTCTGCACTCACTGCATCCATTGAAACTCTTGAAAACCCACACATCATTCCCTTCTTACTTCTCCAGACAGCAGCAGGGAACTCAGATGACTTGCATTTCCCATGGGCACATTTTTCCAATTACGGTGGAATGACAGCCACCAAGCCTCACTACATCTTTGGTCATTGTCAAGCTTTTAGGAAAACACTTTACAGAGCAGTCTGATCTCCCAAACAAGGCAGGTTTAAGGCAGGAGGCCAGGGAGGTGCCACCAGAACCATCGGCTCTTCCATGAGGCATGCACAGAAAGCAGCTGGAACACAGAAGCATGAATGAACTTATTTCCTTTGCTGTAGGGTAACCAGCACTCTCCCTGTTGGACGTCAAACTTGGAGCTCACTTCACACCTAAGTTTTAAATCAAGTGTGGTATTCAGAGTAGACCTTATCTAGATTATGTTCCTTGCCAAGGAACATCAAAGTGATGAGAAGAACAAGTAGAGGGAGTTGAGGATGAGGGAAGACGGATGTTGGCTCATCACCAAGATCCTCAGCAACTTGTGTTGCTGCAGCCAGGCTGTGTTTAGTGCTGCACATCGGGCAGCAAGATGCTTTACAAGGCAGGGTGAGCCAGGAGCCAAGGCAGTGCTTTCACCTGTCAAGGCATGATCCCACAGCTCCTGAACAGAGCACCCAGCAGCGCCCACCAAACAGTGAGGATGAACCAAATCCAAAATCCACCTATGAGATCCCGTCAGGAAACGGGGCCAGAAATAAGCTACAAAATCCTAAACTCGCCCAAGAGAGAGACCAGAAGAAAGACCAAAGACAAGCATGCATACAGCCTGATCCAAGCCTAAGGGCTTAAATGGAGCTCCTGGACCTGTGGGAAGCCATTGGTGGATGGGAGCCCCCAGTGAACCTGCTCTGAGCCTGGTAGTGCTCTGACTCTGACATCACATCAGGGATGTCTCTAATCCTATGACCAGGAGCTTTTTTATGATCTTCTATCCAGCAAGGAGGATGCTTCCTGCCCCATGAGCTGCTGGAAGAGGCCCAAGCAGCCTCCATTGCCCTCGTGTCTGCACCAGACAGAACTCAAGGTAGGTGCTCAGGGCCTGCAGGCAGCTTCCAGTGACTGCAAAGACAGCAGCAGCCTCCAGCGGCCAGCTGGCAAACGACAGCAGTGTAGTTATGCATCTTGTGCACCACGGTGAACGACGGTGTGGCCACACGCCCAACATCCCATGGTGAAGACCAGCATGGTCTCACATCCAACATCTCATGGTGAACTGTGGTGCAGCCTTGTGTCCAATGTTCACTGATGGCATGAAGCATGGCTTCACATTCATGTGGCTTCACATGACACAGTGAAGACCAGTCTGGTCTTACGTCCAGTGTCACACAGTGAAGATCAGCGTGGCCTCATGACAAGCATCACACAGTGAACACAGGTGTGGACTCAGCTCTGATATCACACAGCAAACACCAGCCTGGCTTTATGTCCACGTTCCATAGCAAACACAAGTATGACTTTGTACCCAGCATCCTCACACGGCATGGCAAAACTACCTTCTCTATCAGATGGGGTGTCACAGAGGGCCTGTAGCCAGCGTGGCTCTAGTTAGGGCTGTAGGACCTTGAGGTGTCCTTGGTGAATGCTTCATCCCATGCATTTCCTGCATGCCTTCCATGAGCTGTTGTTCCCCAGAGAACACCCTGTGGAGGAAAAGCCCACCCAGGTGCCTGTAAAAGCTGCAAAATAGGAGTGGGTGAGCCTGTTTTCCTGTTGTCTCCTTTTTTTCAGCCCTTTGAAATAATCACAGTCATAGCAATTATTGCAAAGATAAAATAGCAAGGATTATGAAATCCTCACAGGCAAAGCTCTCCATCAATTAGCTAAATCAATCCTTGCTTCAAAATATAATCCACAACAAGAAGCCACAGCAAGAGACAATTAAAAAAAAAACCAAAAACAAGCACAAGAACAACAAATAAATATCTTTGTGGAAGAGAAGGGCGGGGAGGGGAGAGATTTTTATCAGAAAGCAGAATTATTTCAGGCAGTTGCCTGAATATCTCAGCACACTAAGGTCGTAGCTGAGCGTAGCTGAGAGACTCCAGGGATGTCATGATTTGGAGCACACACCAAACAAATGCTTGGGTTGACATTTTGTAAAGCACTACGTAAAACTGTGTTCCTATGCCCACATTTAGAGACATGCAACTAGAAGAGCTCTGCAGGACCTCAAAGCCCATCCCTCCCAGCACAGACGGTGCTGGTGTCATCACTCACCGACATCAGCATGCCACCAGCACTCCAGGCAGGGTGCTGGCTCCTTGCTCTGCCGTGGGAAGATGGTGGGTTTTTCTCCTCTCAGCCCAATTTCTTCCTGCAGCAATGTCCCCTACTGACTGAACTAGCTGCCTTCTGCTCTGTTTTGAGAGCAGAGCAAGCAGTTTGCTTCTTGGAGCCCTGAGTCTCCTGTAGTAACCACAGAGGAGGCTGAGTGCTTGATGGATGTATTACTATTTAAATTAAAGTAATACCCAGCGACTGCACGTTGGGATCAAACCTCACCATCACACATAGCTTTGGTGATCCTGGTCCCCTGCCCTGAATGCCCACTGCCCACACTGTCCCAAACTCTCCAGCAACACAGAGATCAGGGCTTGAATTCCAGAATTGCCCCTGTGAATCCCACAGCACCCCACACAAGGTGGGCAACCTCCTCCCATGGCAGTATGCCCAACAGATGGGAATGAAGCCCATGTGAAGTCACTGGTCCCACTGGGCCACCCCAAACCACCGTGAGCAGGAAGGGCATGGCTCCATAAGCACCATACAAGGCCATGGAGATGCATCCCCCGGAAGCTGTAGGTTCCCCATGACACTCAGTTTTGACACTGTGAGATGGAAGCAACTTGATGACAACTTGCTGTAGAGCTTTAGCACTGGGCTGGTGCCTTGAATAAGGATCTACACCCAATGTTCGACCAAGCAGAGTTGCATTTATGGCCCAAATTTCCTTTTATTCACCACTTCTCTGCCACATGAGACATGCGTGCTCCCTCTGCATGCCCACATCCAGCACCTGGCACAGAATCCACCGTGCTGAAGGAGCAGGGAGAGCCCTTGGCTTGCAAGGCAGCCGGAGCCGCATCCACAGCCTCTCCCTCCAGCAGCTTTGTCTTCCCTCTGGAACTCAGAGCTCTTCTGCCGTGACAGAGAGAAACCATAAGGGACAATCAGAGAGGTTAATAAAAAGTTGAACACGTTCTTTAATGACAGCTCGAGCTGGAAATGTGAGTCTTCTGTTTGTGTTTCTTTGTCGCTCGGCTTGAATATCCCTGCTAATTTTTTGAATATTGCTGTAGTGTACAGAAGAATTGCTGATGACACATTTTCCTAACGCGCGCATTACACAAAAGGAGATTATATTTTAGCCTCTTTTAGAGACTATAAAATCAGATTCATCCTAATGAAACAGCAAATAAAAAGGGTTTTCCCTTTTCTTTCTCAATCTCTTGGCATTTTTTCCTCCTGTGGTTTTATTCTTCTCCACCCTCCTCCTCTTTCTTACATTATCTGTGTTTCCTGCTCATTTCAACTTGATGACATGTTGCTGGGACAACTAAGTCTCGTAACCTTCTTAACTTTGCCATTGTCACTGCCTGGAGTGTATTTAGGAGGAGTGTTTTAATTTCTTTTCCAACGCACAGCGCCTGCCCCGTAGAAAGATATTAGAAATGGAGGGGGGTGGGGGGAAGAAGGCTTTTCTTCTATAAATGTATGCTATTCAAATCATCTCTTTTTTTATTTCCTTTAAACCCATCATTTGTATGCTGTAGGTCGCTACTTTAAAACCCGGCTCGCTGTCGCTGAAAGGATCACCCGTATAATGATGTCATCCATATTCAGCTGAAAGCTCAGCTCCACTGGAGCCCGGCGCTTCCCCCGCATCCCCAGCCCCATCCTCACCCCTATTGCCATCCCCAGCCCAGCCTCAGGCTCCCAAGTGGTCCCTGCTCACCCAAAATCTCCCTCTGGGAAGAGCAGCCGAGGCTGATGGATAAAGGGGCGGACAGGCATCAGGGGTGTTTGTATGGGGAGCATCACTTGCATCGCCCACCACACATCAAGATGAGTTTGGAAGAAGGGACTGGCTCCTTCCCACGGGTTATCCCACGGAAGAGAAGTGATGATTCACACTGAGCCCCAAGGATTCACCATGCCAAGACTCACTGAATCCAACTGTCCCAGCACCCTTATAGCATGGGGAGCCTGGGTTCTGCAGAAGGGGTTGTAGGGCTCAGCACAAAGTGCCCCAACAACACCAGATACCCAACTGTACCCCTGCTGTTCACGCGATCTCCTCGACACCAGTTAGTTGTCGCCCTGACACAATTATTGTACCTGGATCAATGCTCTTTTAACAACTAATTGATCTTTTATTAGCATATAATAACTTACTTATTAAATCTAAATTAAAGACTTAATTGAGACACTTAATCTAGAGTGGCTCAGTGTATCACTCTCATAAGCATAATGTGTAATTTAATTAATTGACGGCGCTGATAATGGCGTGTCATCTGTCACATATTCCTCCTGACCTGGGAGCCAGAGGGGTGTGCAGCAGCAACAGGAGCACAACACCAGGCTCAATCCACTGCCAAACCAATTCACCTCCCCACTGAAACACTCCCAGATAGGCTGCCTGGGATGAGAGATCGATACTAACATGTTATCTGTGCAGAAGGAGAGAGCGGGTGGACGCGTGCCATGAGCTGACAGCAACAGCAAGGGCACCGTGCTCTGCCTCAACCTCCCTCCCGGTGGGGATTAGGGTTAGGATTTCAGTTCCAATTCCCACTGTTGCACCCAGAGCAGCAGAAGGGTTTCCAGCAATGCCTTTGAGCTCTTCACCCCATGCATCTGCTTTGAAAATAGGGCTGGGGAGAAGAAAAACACGGCAGGGGCCGCGGGTCCCTTCCTTCTGCTGCAGCTCAAATCTGGGTCTGCACATCGTTTTCCACTTCTTCCTCCTTCGCCCCACCGCCGTTCTCCCCGTGATGGAGAATTTCATCTTTCAAAACTCTATGAGATTTAATTTAAAAAAAAAAAAATAAAGTAAAATAAAAAAAATACACAAAATGGCAAAGGGAGGGTTTCTGAAATAAAAAAATAAAGGTAAAGAGATGATGGTTGGAACAAAATGTTCCGGAAGAAAGCTGTTCCCTTGGGGTTTCTTTTCTTTAAGCTTTGCATATTACAATTTGAAATTTTTGTAAAGAGATCCCCATTTTATATTCACACTGGTAGCCTGAATTTAAATATCTCTCTCACCTGAGATTAATACAGGCTTCACCCTGAATTACTTCCCAGCTCTGAAGTACAGCTCTAGAGAGCTCAACTCTCCACAAATTCACTTCTCTTTTAGAGGCATAAAAGCTTAGGAAATATATGAAATATTAAAAGAGCGTGTGTGCCGGGGCAGAGAGGGGGAGAGGGAAGGCTTGGTCATGGGGGGGCCCCTTTGATATGAAAACCCACTTTCCCTCAAATGAAAGCACAGATGTGCTGGCACAGGACTCTAAAGACAAAGATTTGAGCCCAAAGACGACGCCTCCTTGTTGTATTTTGTGATTGTGAAGCCCTGCACAAGGAGCAGGATGCAAGCTATGTCACGCACAAAAGACATCAGCATTTCCATCGGCAATAGAAAATATCAAGTTTCTCCAGAGCAAAACAACAAATGAGGTTATAAACAAACTTGAAAGCACAGCTCCCTATAGCGCCAACTCGGTATTAACCAAATGCACGTGATGGGGGGAAAGCACCTTGCACGTGCTCAGGGCCCATTAGCTAATTGCTGTAGAAATCTGACATTCTATATCATGATTTAACCCTCAGGCCCCTGGGTCATTGCTCCACCTGGGCTCTCTGCATTTCTTCTGCTATCACAGCCATGGTTTCTCCACCCAAGGAGATTGGTGCAAACTGAAACCTTCCATTCTCCGCATCTATGAAGCAAAGGGATGTAAAGTTTTCCCTTGGAAGACAATCCCAGAATGGCTGGGGTCAGAAATGACAGCAGCAGGTCCGTCTGGTCCACCCAAGGACTACACAGAGCATGGTGCTGTGAGCCATCAGCAGAAGATACAGCACACAGCCTAGGAGCTGCAGCCACCAGCACCACCTCCGGGCACTCTGCATGCCCAGCTGTGATGGCTCCTCCAAGCACTGCTGGTTCCTGACCCACACCATAGCTCTTGCCTCCATCCCTCCTGTCCCAGACTATAATTCCTGCTCCAATGGTCAGGTTTTCGTTTCATCCACCTCCTTTTAGATTCTACCTGAGCTTTGCTTGTGGGCACTTAATGCCATGGGCACAGCATGCACTGTGATGCTTCACAGCCATCAGAGAGTTTGGGCTGCACTCATGACCACCACAGCAACCTTCCCTTGAACATATGGTGCTCAAGAGACATCAGTGCAAGGAATACCACCTCTTCTTGCTCCCTGCAGTCTCCAAGGTGTGCAGGACACCCTGCACCATGATTACCCCAAAAACCACTAGGTTCACAAGCCAAACTCAAAGACAAAACCAAACCCAACAGGGATGCAGTGAGTATGAACACCAACACTAACCAAGCCCAGCTCCACTTTGGGATGTCCCAGCTGGATGTTCTCCATGCAATTATCACCACCAGCTCTACAGCCCAATGCCTCACAAGCAGCAGCTTGCCATGGCTGCCAGACTCAAGCTGTGATGTGTCAGCGATGGCACAAGGCTTGGCTTTGCTGCTTTGCCCCCTGAAGCTGCATTCCCTGTGCACGTGGGTGTGCATGCATGCATGGTTCTGTTTGAGAGGGGCCGGCTGCTGCAGCAGAAGGACTTCTGTGCAGCTCTCCCTTCTGTCAGCTGCAATAAATTTCTTCGCTAGTGCTTCTCCTCTGAATCGAATATAGTTTATTTCATTTTAAAAGTCCTTTTTTTTTCTTTTTTTTTTTTTTTCATTTCAGGAAAATGAATGTTAGAGCCAGATAAGAAACTATAGTCTGCTTTCAAGAAGGTTACAAGAAAACTGCATCTTGCATTACTAATCCTTTATCTTTCATGTTAACAAAAAGATTACTGACATATTTTTGAATGAAAGAAAATAAAATAGCAAATGCATCTAAAGAACTGTGTAACTTTCATGCAACACACAAATCGGTTGTTAAACGTGGAGAAAAAAAAGGAGGGGAATGAAGGGAAGATTCATAATACATTTCCCTTTGTAAAGTGAGCAAACCAACTTTCTATAATAAGGGAAACTACTGGAGGATTGGAGGAGGCTCCTTTCATACACGGAGAACAATGTTGCTTTTAACTGGAGGCTGGATTTGGGGGGTGGAGGGGGAAACCTCCCCTGCTGGGGTCTCCAGAGGGGGTTTGGGAGGTGCTATGGGATGGGCTGCATGGACCCAAGTCCCCCAGCCCCATCCATAAGTTTTGGCCTGGAGGAGCCATTGGTATGGCAAAAATCAGGTATGGGATGAGAAATATCAGGTATGGGGTGACGAAAATCAGCTATGGGGTCACACCACGTGGAACACCTCCAGCTGCCCTGGGGACGTGTGCAGTGGCCCCACAGAAGGAGCAGTGCCCTGATCTCAGCCCTGATCTCCCCTGCCTTGGCACACTGCGCTTCATTAGAAAACCCGTAACTGAATTACCTGACCATTCAGTTCTAAAACCCTTTTGATTGAGAATTAGTTAATTACATTGAGCCCAGTATATTCCTTGTTAGAAATTTTGCCCATGTTCCCGAGATATGCAACGGTGGGCTCCGCTTGCACTGTGTCCTTTGAAATGCATTTAGGACCTCTGAATCTCTCTCCTCTTAACGACGCATTGTTCGTTAATAAGTGGCCATAACACCTCCCCATTAGGAAATAGCTGTCTGCCATTTGCTTAGGCTGGAACAGGTAATAATCCCAATGAACTGGATCATGTTGTAGAATGAAAGGGGATATTTACGAGATGGGCACATTGGTGTCATTCTAATGAGATGATTTCCTAACCCCAAAAATGCCAGGTCTGGGAACCCAGGCAGGAACACTGCCCTCATTATCTTCTCCTCTCAAAGATCTCCTTCTCCCTCCAAACCTAAAGCAATCGTTTGCACTCAGATTTCAGTCCTACCAATGGAGAACCAATGGGACGTGGTTAGTGGGGATGGTGGGAATGGGTTTGTGGTAGGACCTGATCATCTTAGAACTCTTTTCCAACCTTAAAGATTCTATGATTCTATGAAAATACTCCTCAATTGCTCTGTTTTGCTTTGATTGCTTTCTCAAGCCCCACCTCCCCAAGCATTGCTTCACTTGCACATCTCGTTTGCATTGTTCCCCCTGTGCATTGCTCCATTTGCACCTTGCCCTCACTCGTACATTGCTTCCATTGCATTGAGAACTATTGGTGATCAGAGGATGGTTGGACCGAGTGATCCTGTAGGTCTTTCCTAGCCTTGGTGATTTTATGATTCTATAACTCATTAGCCTCATTTGCACACGGCTCTGTTTGCATAAACCTGTGCTTGCACCTACCCCTACTTGCACATCATTCCACTTGCACGTGGTTGGGCTTGCACATCACACTGCTTGCACATTATTCTACTTGCACATGGCTCTGCTTGCACATCATCCTGCCTGCATGTCCCTGGCTTGCAAACTACTCCTCTTGCACATCACTTGCAAAGTCTTGCCTCTTGCATTTGCTTCTATTGCCCTCTGCTGGGGACTGTCAAAGGGACAGCTGATCCCTCAAGCGCTGTGCCTTTCCGTCTCCATCTCCCTCTGCGATTGTAGGGGAACTCCAAGCTGGGGTGTTTAACACAGGGCATGGAGCAGCTTGGCTCTGCCTCTGAATCTACTTTGCATGGCTTGAAAGCACGCTGTCAAGCCTGCCTAGCTATGGTCCCAGGACAGTAACGTAGGGGATGGTACATAGCAGCAGGACAGACAGACAGGGGACAGACAGACAGGACAGAGGAGGGGACAGATGCCCACCCTGCAGCTTCTGCTGTGAGAAGTCCTGGCGTGCCTGCTGGATTAGGGATGATAGAGGAGAGGAGCGCCTTATAGAAATTAATTCCCAAAGTGTAATTAACATCTGGGCCAGCTCGGCGCGCTCCCCAGCTGCTAATGAACCATGGCACCGCTTTAATTCCAGCGCCACCACACCATCTTCTTATTAAATCCAGGAGCAGGTTCCAGCACATTTCCCTTCGAGGGAAAAAGGAGAAAGAAACGGAGCAGGATTTGTCTCAATGAAATATGATAGATTAGAGTTGGCCGGATAAAGAAAGTGGGGGGGGGGGAAGGGGGAGAAATTTCCCATCTTGTGCACGCATATCACTGTATTCTCTTTCGCAATGACCTCCTTCTGCCCCATCCATCAGCCTGGGGTTGGCTTATTCTAACGAGCGGAGCCTTTTCTCATACGGAACAGGCCCATCAGACTCAATCTGCATGCCAATTACCGGAGCAGACCCCCTGATACTGAAAAATGGAAATTAGCCGTCAAGCGGGCTGGGCTGGATGGCCTGCGCTCCCGCTGCTCCCAGACACCCGCAACGAGGGAGCCCCCAGTGGAAAAAGTAATCAGGAATAATAATAAAATAAAATAAAACCCACACAACTAGCATATTTTACTGTTGTTTGCCTTGCTTGCCAGCATTCGGGGTACAATGTGGAATTTACCAGAGGGCAGGAGGATGGGGAGGGGAAGAGCTGGGATAATTGCGTTTAGGTGATGCACAGGAAGGATGCAGGGAGGTAATGTGACTGCAGGGGCGAAGCAGAGCTTGGTGCCCCAACGTGGGGGGGCAGCAGGAATCGCAGTGCCCAAACTCACCAGCTGCTATCCCACCTGCAGGGATCTTCCATGTAGAAATGGGAAAGGCAACAAAACCCAACATGCATGCCACGCTCAAGCTGGTGCCCTTTAGATCTCCCAGGGAGGGTCCCAGAGAGCTTTGCTGGAAGCTGATCAAGGTGCTGGGGGATGGCTCGTGCACCGACCCCAATTGCTAAGAGCTGGGTAATGCTGGAGTGTCTGAGGAGACAGAATTAAACCTCAGAGGAAAGGAGAGACGTGGCAGAGAGCAAAGGGGGGACTGGGGGAGGATGGGGACACACATCGCCCTTTGCAGGGAGCTGTGCTCCCGGGGGCTGCAGGTTGACAAACATCACTTTGCCTGCCTCCCTGCTCTGTAATAACCTCATACATCAACCAAGGAGACTGGGGAGCGTGGCTGCAAGGGCTCTGCTTCCACTGCCATCATTAGCCTGGGGTCCCTCTGCTCCACATGCAAACAGGCTGGAGTCCCCACGAGGAGGGACTTGCATCACTGCTTCCTGCATGGGCACAACCAGCCTGACATCTAGTGGCACAGGGCAAAGCAGATGTTCCAAACTGTGGGACGACTGGGAGCCCGGTGGCCCCTTCTGCTCAGTGCATGTCTCCAGGGCCTGGGGACTCACTGCTTCCTATCCTCTGCTGCTCTTTGGGAACATCCAAGCAGCAATCTCAGAACTCAGTTTTGAGAGGTGTTCATTATCTCTGTCCACGTCCAACCTCTTTATCCTCTTCTAACTTCCCTATTTTAGTGGTCCTAATACAGTCAGGATGCCCAGCAACCCCCATTCTCCAGAGTCTCTGCCCATTGCAGAGCTGGAGACCAGAGTTGGAGGCAGTGGGAGCTGGTGGAGACTGTTCTGCCCAAAGAAAGCACCTGGCTAACAGGTTCACACATGGGGTAAAAGCAGGACAGAGCTTCTGAGTGACTCAAGTGCTTTATTGGGGGCCCAGCTCCCCACCATTCACTCAGCAATGCTGCGGAAGGACTGGACGGCAGGGGTCACTGCTCCCCATTCCACTGGCTGCCGGTACTCGCCCTTGGGCAGCAGGTACTGCCTGCCCCGGTAGTTGGGGTGCTCATAAAACACCCAGATGCCCTCCAGCACCCGGCAGGCGTGGACCTCACGAAAGTGGCACTCCTCCAGGATGGAAGGGCAGTCTTCAGTGGCTTCAAACATCTGCCCACCGAAATCCCCCTTCTCAAACACCTGGATGTGGCCCTGGGCTCCACTTGGCTGGAAGGAAGAAGGGAGAGAATTGCAGGGGGTTTGGGATGCGTCTGGGGTAGAAGCAGAGGCAAGGCACAGCCAAGCTCAGGTCAAGCACCAACACACCAACACACCAGCATGGTTCTGAATAGCTCACATCAGCCCCTAAACACAGTGTGGGGTAATTCTTGACCAAGCATCATATGCAAAGAGCACTTTCAGCCTAAACCCCCACCACAGCCCAAGTTCCAGATGGGTGTGGAGAGAGATGAGCACGTGCTGGGCTCTATCCTATGCAGGCAGCCTGCTCAAAGCCTGTAGCCACTCAGTGCGAGCATCAGGAGGGATGCACCCCTCTGCTCCCCGCTCCTCTGGGCAATGAGGAGTTTAATGAGCTGCTGACCCCAGCTGGGTTGTATTACAGGCGAACGCAGCACGGGTATTTTCCACTGTGATTTCAAGCGCTGTGTTGCCTGAAGGCACCGTGGTGGTTTTAATCTGTGGCTGTCTGGACACAGTCTCCCCCCACCTCCCCTCCGCCTGTTCTCACTACCAGCCCCAGCCAAACTCTGCAGGGTCTCACAGCTCTGTGTCACTGCTCCAGGGGCTCTGAACCAACATCTACGATCAGTCGGTCCCCATGCCACCTCCCCAAGTATGGGAGGGGAAGCCAAGCACAGGGGACATGCAGCATCACCTCTGCTCTTCACGGTGGCGGAGGACGCTTTGCTGCTCTTACACCTCCCACGTGCTCTTGCTCCATCCCTTGTAGTAGTTCAGAGCTCTGAAGTGGCTGACAACTATTCCTAGGCTAAGGGGTTTACTCACACCTCAAACCCACAACAGACGAAAGCAAAAACCTCTTGCAGCTTTAAGACCTGCTCCATTCAATGGCAAATCATGGTAGTGCTACCCATGTCAGTAATGCACAGATCAGAATCATTAAGGTTGGAAAAGACCATTAAGATCAGCTAGTCCAATTATTGACCCATCAACACTGTGCCCACCAGGCATCAGCTATGCTGCTGGTACTGACACCAGGGCAGTAACACTCAGCTCTAACACCATACTCCCACCCTGCCAGATTGGAGGCTGCTTCCCCCTAAAGTCATTACCCCAGCTGTGGCACTTGGTGCCACACACCTATTGCTGTCCTCTTCATAGGGACCCCAGGAAGATGGGGGCTACCAGCAAGCACCATCCCTAGAGGTGCTCAAAGCCAGGATGAATGGGATGCTTTGGGCAACTTAATCTGAGGGGAGGTAACCCCACACGTGATGGGGGCTGAAAGCGGATGGTCTTTGAGGTTTCTTCCAACCCAAGCCCATCTATGACACGACAAAGCAACTGAAGTGGCAGGTTGGTGAACTAAGACACCCCTAGGGAAGCATCACACTTACTATGTGGACAGCTTTGCAGGAGCCGAGGCGGTCATTGAGGCCCATCCAGTGGTGGTAGTCAGGATACTCCCCCCGCCTCAGCACATACATGTTCCCCGAATAGTTGGGCCTCTCATAGGCCACCCAGGTGCCTCCCTCCACCCGGATGGAGTTGCAGCGGTTCAGGTAGGTGTGGAAATCAGGGCAGTCGGCGTTGCACTCGTAGCGACGACCCAGGAAATTCTTGTCTTCATAGAAGGTGACCTGAAAGACCAGCAGGAGAGAGAAGCAGGGGGTTCCGCCTCCCTCCAGGAGCAGCATTGGTGTTGCCACTGGAAGGGCATCGCTTCAAAGCACACAGCCATAACCTGAGCCCATCTGTAAGCCCTGCTGCCTCCAACATGGAGAGAGATAGGAAAAAAAAAAAAGGCAAAAAAATGAATTCCCGAACTCAACTGTTCCAGAGAAAGGACAACTGATGTGCAAGTCAGTTGATTCGACATCGTGCAGACTCAGGCAGCATTTGCCCTTTTCAAGCTTCCTTAGAAGGGCATCAGCCCCATGCATGCTGCCTGGGTCGTTTGGCAACATTGGAAATTGCCTCAGCCAATTCCCACAGCTACTCTGGACAGAATTTTCCCTGCCCCGGTGATTTAAACATCTAACACACAGGACTGTAATCCATTTTTCCATGCACACCAGCCTGACTTCTTCACCCTCTGTCCCCAAAGGAGACTTAGCTAGTGCTAGGGCAAAGCAAAACACCAGCAGTCTCAGTATCCCCTGGTCATAGCTTTCCCAGTCATAGCAAACATCAACCAGCTGATTCCTTGTTTATTCCATAGTGCATTAAGATACACAATCACCTCTTGATCCCAGCTAGCTGTACTTCACCTACAGCACCTTGGCTTCTTGTATTGATTTAATATCACTGTGATAAATACAGTCCAAGGCTGCCATCTCAGCCTTGGAACTAGACTCAAATCTAGAACCTCACTATATTTTTTTATACATTCACTTTCTGTAAAAAATAAGTTAGCCACTGTTACTGCTGGTCAATCAGTGTGCCTACCAGCACACTGACCAGGGTTCACGTGCCCTATCACAGCAACATATTTGCCTATTAAGTTGGCCAAGGTGGCCTACTGTTTTGTAATAGAGAGCTCAACTGAGGTCCCCTTCCCACCCTGAGGAGCACAAGTATCTTTCAATTCAACACTACTTTCTGTTCCTTGGGAGATATTCTCCCTGTATTTATAAAGCCACAGAAAAGTATGCTATAGCCACTAAGCAGTGACCAACTGGAGGTGTGGTTTGCTGCTTTCTTTCTAAAGCACATAGAGGCTGAAGGAGACGGCTCCTGCCCGCCTGTGTTGCCCTTCACACACCCCCAGTTCACTCCAGTCCCTCACTCAGCACTTCTCAACTTCCCTGTGATGCTACAGACACAGAGGAGGCAGACGGTTTCCACCCACAGGACGATGACAGGTGAACTGCAGATTTCAATTCCAGATCCGTCAGTTCCTTTCAGTCACACGTTACTCCGATGCAAATCGCCTCCCGTCAGTAAAGCCATTCAGTTGCTCTGCTCACAGTGATATCCCCTTAGCTGCTCACTGTCCAAACTTTTCTTTGGGGCTTACCTGGCAGATAACAGATTTGCCCCAGCAGATCTTCCTTACATGACTGCAAAACTCATACTGCATCGGCCACCTAACAGCAATTACCACATTTCTTCCTACAGCAGCTGTGTTAGAAGGAAACTCATAAGCAGCAACTGTAAGCAATACTTAGCAGTACCTAATAAAGCAGCACAGGGGCAGTGACCTCTTTCTAGGGCACATCACTTGCTTAGGTTGTGGGAAATACCGTTTCATGGGCTCCTTTGCCTTTTCTTTCCCTCTCTGCAACATGAGCGTGGCACAGAGAAAAGATGAGATTTGCACTCATTCACTGATTTAACTGATCCCAGACATTTTGCTGCACATAGTGAATCAGGCTCGTGTATATATTGTGTATAGGCTGCAAACAAGCTTACCTTTGGTCCAGCCCTGGACATTTTCTGTTCCAGCCAAACTTCCCAGTGCTGGAGGCGAGTCAGGACCTGTTATAAAACAGGCAGGACCCAGGCACCCTTTTTATAATGGGCTTGTTTGAAACCAGACAGCCGCTTTGTCATGAGAATAGGATCCAAAAATTGAGTCAGTGATTCTGAGGCTATAGCCCGTTTCCAGAAAAGCAAACAGGATTATGGAATAAAGGAACGCTTCGCCGTCCTCCCTTTGTCATCATCTGCTGAGTCAGAACACCAAAACTCTGCCAAACGCACTCAAAACACACAGCCCCCTGCCAAGTCCTGGAAAACAGGGGTGTAGGGGGCTATTTTGGCTGCTCTCCTCCTTGTAAGCATGTCAAACAAGAATTGTTCCCAGTCAGCTCTAAAGAGGCCTATCCCCATCTGTAAGGAAGAAACTCAAGTACTTATTGGAGAACTGTTCCCTCACAATGAAGGGAGGGAGCCAGGAAAGGGTGGACAAATGCACAGGGAAGAGCACAGGGTTGCAAGGAACAGATTCTGCTTAAAGGGCCTACTTCAAAAGCACACAATGGAAACATCTGCACAGCAGAGATGCTGTGCATTTTTATAGTATATCCTCAGCTGAGTTGACAAAATTTACCAGTGATAAATTCCACTCAAAAAATCTTACCCCACTGCTTGCAATTCAAGCAAGGGATCATTTCTTCTGCCCTCCTCTGGCCCACTGAGCAGGGAGGGAGAGGAATACTGGCTTCTGTCTATCCACACCTCTCCCCAAGCCACTGCATTATAACAAACACCTCTGCAGCTATTCACTGCAGCATCCCAAAGGCTTAGCAAGACAAAGGGGCACGAAGCTGGCACAGCCGTGCCTGAAACACACAGACCTTATTTCTCTGCTGTCCCACACACACTGCTGCAGCTTTGCTGCACCTTGTAGGAAGTTACACTCGCATGTAACCGTCAGTGACAGAGGCACAGCACTACCTCATCCTCTCCCTATTTTAGGTGTTCTGATTCATCTAGCACTGCTGTTCAGAGCTCTCAGTGCTAGCAAGCAGTGGAGACATCCACAGATGTTTCAGAGTCCAACCAGAACCGAGTTCCTACTAGAAGGCAATCCAGCAAGTTCAGCAGGACATCTCCAAGCTCCACTGCACTGATGCTGACTAAATATGAAAAACTCCCCTCGTATTGCCTAATGCCTTAGAATTAAATCTTACAGTTTTACTAAGTACTAAAAACAGAAGTGGAACTAGAGCTGCCATCAGTGCCAAAGAACAAAAGCTGCAGATGAATATAACTCTGCTTTCATTAAGAACTGACCCAGAGCTCAGGTGTTGACAGAAAGCAAGGTCTGGTCCTCAAGTGACACTGAGCAGCCAAGGTGACAGAGGACAGGTGCTGAAGGTTTGGAGGAAGACTCACCCTCAGATACTGAAAAGCTCAGCTTTACAAATGCTTTCCTATGGCACAACTTCTGAAGATGCCAAATCTTCAGCTGGTAACGATGAGCACACGTTTACCAGACCCCAAATCAGTACCTGATGCCAGCTCCAATTCCTGATTCAAATGGACTGCCTCCCCAGGAATCCAGAGAGACCTTCTGTAACTAGCAGCCTGACTGCCATGAGCCCCAGGGCACTGAATTCCATTGCCTCCATCCACCCTCAGTGTGGATAACTCCTAACAAATCACACAGCTGCTGCATTCAGCCATCCATGCAATCAGTGCCTCTGCATACTCTGCCTAGCTCACTCAGGGGCTCAGCTATGAGCACACCTCCCCAAGAGAGGGTCCACCAACACAGCGTGAGAGTGGGACTCACTCAAGTTGATAGTCTGCTAAGAAATAACAAATGTAGGAGATTGTGTTTGTGTCAAAATACTGCACTAAGACAGCCTGCAAAGACTTCGGCTCCACTGCTATTAAGAAATCAGTGCTTTTCTCTCAGCTGACCAGTATACAGTTCATTGAAGCAGTGAAGATGCTGTGTTCCCCTAACAATAATTGTATAGGTAAAACTCATTCCCTAGAGCTTGTGTCAGGCTTACCTTGAGTTTTATTGACATCTGTCAAACACGTCAAATATACAAGAAAGGTAATTCCACCCAAATCACACTGCTTAAGTGCTGTCTTCATATTAAAAAAAAAAAACTATAGCATTTCATTCATAAACGATCAAACATTTGTTTTTCACATTTATAAAAGCAGGGCAGCTGGCCTGTACAATAAAGACACGTGTGACAGCCAGCTGTACATCAGGAAAGGCTCCTTTGCTGGACACACACACAGACACCACAGATGGTAACCATGACACCAGCCTCCTTGCAGCAAGGGGCACATGTACTTCCTCATCATCCTCCAGCAGCACGCACCTTCCTTCTCATTTACCAACACAACAGTTACAGTACATTCCTGGGAAAGCAGCAGCTATTCCAAATCCTAAACCAGAGAGATGTCCAAATCCTAAACCAGAGAGATGTCCAAATCCACACACAGGCTGGCCATCAGATCCACATCGAGCGCGTGCAGTCAGAACAGCCGCAAAGTCTTTATGGGAAACGTTTTCAGGACAGCGCTGTCTGTTCCCACAACTCTACAACAAAGCAGAGGTGCAGATTTTATGCCCAACACTTATCGAAGACAAAGAAAAATGGGAAAAAATAAAGGAAATAAAAACATTTCCTATGGTTTGAAACATGCAATAGAAGAGAGTCATGAGAGCTTGCCTCCAGCTCCTAAACCACTTCTGCTTGGGAAAAGAAAGACTGCAAAGTAACAATTATCTGAAGCCTCACCCAATTCTCTTAAACAAAAGGTGAGACAGGTAAGCACAGATATTAATACACATCTTTCAAAAGATGGCTGCTCAAGTCTTTATTTCAAGTCACATAGAACATGCCTATCTGCCTTTACAGATCCCAACAAAGCACCTGCAGAGAACAAAGGAGGTGCCGAGCACACACATAACAAACTCAACTAATAAGAGGTTCTGACTGCAAAATAAATAAAACCAAACACAAGGCTCTTGGGAGAATCTCCACTGAACAGCTCCCAGCCTCTTCCACCTAGGCTGTGCACACCAACATGGGACAATTCCTCTAGGAATAGAAGAATCAAGAGACGCCTTCCACTCACCCTTCCTTTCCTTCTGGTGCAGAGGAACATGATGCTATCCTGCAGCCTGCTTGGAGCCCACAGCAGGAGGGACGAGGCTATCCAGCTGCTGACGGTTCCCTGTCTGAATCAGCCATTCGTAGAACTTGCTTTCCACCAGCATCTGGAACTGCTTCCTTTGATCCCTGCAACAAAAAGATGATCAGAAAAGAAGCATGCGGAAGTAACACTTTTCTGTGCTTATGAACTTCACTTCCAAAACAAGCCTCTACAAATCCCAGCTAAGAGCTGCGCTTGGTTCAAGAACCGTGCCCAGAAAAGAAAGCTTCTACCAAGTGAATATAACTAAAATTAACCCCAAAGGCAGAACTCAGTTAGGCATGCAAGCTTCCCCACTTCACTAGCAGCCACTCTGCTCCATAAGGCCTCCTCTGCTTTACTCTCAGTGCACAGATCAGCAGCGAGTGCTCAAGCACCGAAGACATAAAATTTTGTACTGACAGCATTTGAAGAGAGAGGATGGAGATCAGGAAAACTGTGTGTATATAAACAGCACTCCTCAAATAATTTCCATTGCAGGGAAATAACTGCTGTGTTTTTGCTAAGAGCAGCAACAACAGGGTGCATCACTTAGTTCAGGCACTCTATCAGCAGTCACATGTCCAAGAGCAGCACAGGCTCATGGCAGTATTCCTCCAGAGTAGCATCCCAGCCATCTGAGATCAGCTCAGCTCCTGAATTTCTACTCTTGAATAGCTCCTGACAGATATTCTTTTTTTTTCCCCCCTGTGAGCTTACACAATTCATTTCTGAACCTACATAAAACACGAATGTTTCCAATATCCTGTGGAGATTGCATGGTTTTGTTTTGACCCCGTTCCTAATTTGTTTTGATGCTTCTATCATGCACTGGGAAAAAACAGCAAACCATTCCCATACATTTCTGTGTCACTCAGCTTCAGAGGGGCCTCGTATACCCTTTTTTCAAGTTAAAGATTCTTCTTTGCACTGTCACTTCCATTGGAAACGTTCACTGACAGATCCCCCAGAAAGCAGGTTTCTAAGCTGGAAACTAACCTAAATTCCTCCCCAGTGAATATGAACACAAAGGCAGTCACTTCTTTCTTCTCTTAGAGTTTATCTTCTCCAAGTGCTTATTATATACCTCCATCTGCTACAGACCCTTAAAGGCTTTCTCTCTGATGTGCTCAGAAAATGAGCAAGCAGGATTTTACGCTTTTACAAGTTGTTCTTCAAGCTCTCTTTCAGGTCCTGTCTTACGGGGCTTTTACCTTTAGCCTGGCAGGATTTACATTCTTTTTTTCCCCCACTCTCCTTCTTCAGACAGCTTCAACTTCTCGAAAGACATCTTCTTACTCTTTCACCTCCCTGTTCAAACACCAGCAGCTTTTCTTCTTTCTACAAGTCTGACAATCTGCTTGCTCTGGGTTGTCTCTCTAGCTGTCTCCTTGCCCACAGAGCACAGAGGCACTTTACACTGCCAGCTGCCCAGCTTCTTTCCAGCAAGGTTCTAATTCTGGCACATTTTTCCCCCTTTCATGAAATAAGCCACTCCAGTACCAAGCTGTCACCTCCTCTGACTGCTGCAGAGGCTGCTAAATCTTAGTGCATCGTCTATATAATTTAATATTTCTTTAATTGTTAGATTTTGGTAGGTAAAACACATTCATAAAAACAGGGTGAGAAGCAGCAGCCTTGGTTTCTATTGCATGTTTCCAATGGGTGAAGTAGGAGGAGCACTGTAGATGAGACCAACAGACACAATGCTCCAGCACAAAAGCTGAAGTTAAAACTTTCTGCTGCTCTTCAAGATACAATGCTGAGGTTTGAAGGTTTTTACATCTCTGTCACCACTACTGGATCACTACTGCTCAGCCATCCTCTGCTTGTAGCAAAATCCTCCCTAAGGATCCTTTCTCCTTCCCACTGCGGAGCTCTTTCAAATGCAGGCTCCTCTGCACAAAGGCAGCTGGTGTTCAGAAAGGAGCAGGGAAAGCTCAGGAGGCTGCTCTAAAAACAACCAAACAGACTACAGCTCTGCAGCTTGGTGTGACAGGAAGTGCTGACTGTTTGACTCAACAGGTTTTCATGTTCTGTGCATCCCACAAACTAAACTTCTCTAAGATCACTGCTTCTCTGCACCCAGTTACGTGTCCACTGTAACTCATGGACTGAGCACACGGAACAAGAAGAAAATGGAGAGCTCAAATACGGCTTTTTGAGGGATCAAAAGTTGTTTTCACCTCTTCAAGACTTTTAAACCAAGTATCTGGATTTCTACCTCCATTCTGTATTTGCAAAGGAAGATCCTCAGATTGCTGCATCAAAGTAGTTCACAAAAGATAAAGCAGCAAAACTGAAGCTGACAGATTTTTACACCTGACAGCCCAACAAAGCACGCTGACAAAGAAAACAAGGTGGACTCTTTCAGAGCTCAGCAACAGGCGTTGAGAGAACAAACAGATGCATATCAGCACAGGAGACCAGTGAGGAGAGGCCCAGCTAGTACAGTAGAAGCTGGGCAGAGGATTTTAAAGGGAACTTTAAAAGCTACTGTCCGTGAGGTGATGTATTCTAAAATCCACATGCACATGCTTAGCTCACCTCAACAACAGGTGGGACAGTAATTTAAAGCTTCACTGTAAAGGTTGGGTTTAAGAATGATCACCAATCAGCTGCAGGCCAACAATTGGTGGAGCTGTTGTTCAGGGTACTGGCCCAGATCTCACCCATGTCAGCATGCAGCACTGGAAGCAGAACAGAGACAGCAAGGAGACAATACCCTCATGAGGGAAGCCATAAGCTCATGCCACCAGGACACCTCAACTTGGCCCTCAGCAGCATCTAGGCATGTTTTCCTTCAGCTTTGCAGGTTAGGAAAATGCAGTCACAACAAAGCATTTTTTCAGTTGTAAACATGATTCCCCTCACTATAATGCCAAAGACCAGGATCTCAAGATTGCCGACTTGCTTTAGAAGTGGCAAGATGTAGCCCACACAAACCAACCCAGTACTAAAGCATTTTTCTGAACCACACTGAATGATGTACAACTGTGCTGAGCTTCAGATGCCTTTCAGGATACAGCACTCACTTGGTCAGGCACGCCTCCTTCACCATTTTCTGCCAGATCTGCACCTTCTGCTCTCGCTGATTCAGTGCCTTCTGATAGGCATGGGGAAGCCCCCCTGGTGTCTCTGTGGTGTCTCCTTCCATCTCAAAAGGAATCACAAAGGTGTAGAAGTCCAAGGGCGGCAGGAGGCGGAAGACGCTGGCATCACTGCCCTCCTTGCACACCAGCATGGGGCTGTCCCAGTAGTTGGGCACAGTGGCCAGCCCCACTTGAGCCATGTGGTCTTCCAGCATGGGGTAATGGGTGTGGAAAGGGGCAAAGCTGATTGCTTGGTTTCCCGCAAGGATAAGGGGCTGGGTAGGAGTCAGAATGTGAAAAGTACAGCCAGTGGTGGAGGAAAGAGACAAGCAATGGCAAACGGTGATGACTTTGATATTGTCACAGCTGTGGACGTGAACAGATGCCTCCACAGGGCCGAGCACAAACGTGCTATTCTGGCACTTCTCAATGGTCACAGAGCTGCAAAACAACAAAGATACAGTGAGCAGGGAAGACTGCAACTAGAGCTTAACAAGAGCTTAGCACTTGAGCAAGTGCTGAAAGGACATTTGGCTGTGCCTCAAGAGAACAAAACCTCACCAAAGAGGAGAGAGGAGATAAATGAAGGACTCGTTGCAGCGATGAATTCTGACATGAGCACCCACCAAGGTGTCCGAGCTCTTGGCCAGTGTCTGTTTGTAAACCTGGCTCATTATCACCATAGGGGACACCTCAGGCACCACACGAGTGTTACAGGCAATCTTTGCTCTCCTGGTTGTTCCTTCAACTGCAAAACAGAGTTAATCAACGCATTTAAATTAAAAAAGAAAAAAAAAAGAAAAAAATAAATAAAGGATATACATGTCTGCCAGAGAGAAACAGACATGATGGTTCACTGTCCACATCACTCAGCAATCTCTCAAGGAAATAATCAGCCCCAAACTTCACAGCAGTGCAGTGACACTGTGTCACCACACACAAGTCCTGCTATCCATCCTTTTAAGGGGTAGGGTGCCCTTGCAGGTGAAGAGCTGTGATTCAAGGCATGAGAACCTTGATCAGTTCTCAGCTTTGCCACAAACACATCACATTATCTCTTTTCCATGTCTGGCTGTTCCTAAACAATGACCAATGATGGTAGTGATAAATGACCTCACTCAGAGGGGCCTTTGAAAGCAAAGTCATTCATGTTTGCTCACAAAGTAACCCGAGGACCAGAAACTACACACAGGCATCACACAGCACCCTCTACTCTCCCAGGCTCACCCCTAAGCTATCACTTTCCCTATATTTACTAACAGCAGAAGGAAACAGGCAGTCACAATGCCACTGCCAGATGCCTGGTCACCAAGAAGAACTGAGACTGGAAGTTTGCCTCTAAGAATAAAGGTAAGACCTGCAGATACCTTGCTGTGCCCACGCAAGCTTCTTCCCAGACCGTAGGCAGGCAGTCATTCCAAAAGGATTTATTATCAGGCAGGAGCGCAGCCAGTTCTCTAGTTTGGGGAAGGAGAAGGTTTTGGAGATCTTAGAGTAGCCGTTCTGCCCATGGCAGGGCTGCCAGAGGGCAAGCTCATGCAGAGGATGGATGGTCCTCGAGTTGTTCACAGTGCCTTCGATGAGGAAGCTGAGGGCACAGACGGCTTCGTAGGACACCAAGCTGTTGTGGGTGGCGTGCGAGGAGGCACCGAGCTGCTCTGGCTCCAGCAGCAGCTCCAGCATGTCTGAGAGGTGTGTGAGCACAAAGGCAAGGTGGTCCTGGTCATTCCAGTTCTTAGGGGCAGAAAAATAAGAACAAGGTGAATTCTCACATAGCTGACAAGCTCCACCAACTCTGTACAACACGTCTTTGCTTATACTTGTAAAAGAAGGAAAGCAAGCCAAACTCGGTCCTGCTGCTCTACTTTTTCCACACATAGAAAGGAAGTTGGATTCACCATCAAGCACACCAAAAAAAGAAACATGGTGTCATTCTAACTCTAAGTATCAAATATTTCATTTTAGAAAGCAGAAGCAGATTCTCCTACAATCCTTCCCGCACAAATTCAGCCATCTGCTGCTAGTATTGAAGGGAGGAAACAAATCAGTAACTGACAGCCAAGGTCTTGCTATGTGTCTGTTGGAAAGATCGCTGCATCTGCTCCAGACCTTCAGCTGAGATTGAGTGCTTCTGATGCGGAGCCAGAGATAATAAAAAAAGCAGAGGGTCATTCCTTCACAAGCAAGCAGACCAATAAACCAACCAGGCTCTGAAAGAAGCATTAGTTCAAATTTTAAAGGGCTCCATTCGAAGAAAAGTGGGAGATTGGAGCTGTGGCTGGCACCAATAAAGACAAGCTTTGCTGGCCGCCAAGGTGCAGAATTAATACTCAGCTATGATCACACCTTGTCCTCACTGTGCTGGGGGCAGGAATAACACACCTACAACAGCAGCTGGAGATCGTAGCACTGTGACAAAGATCCTCTGGAACACAGGAACAGCTCTTGTTCCTGTTCAGAATTACATTCTATAGCTGCCCCTGAAGCACAGCTGGAAGAAAACATCGACTTTTCAATTCCATTGGATGCTCCAGTGCTACCTCACCCACAGCCATTTATCAGTTTCTCTCATTTTTCTCTTTGTTTTTTAAATCCTCTAGTATAAGATCACGCAGCCCATTTTTAATGGTTTCAGCTTGTTCCAATCTACATTCCCAGGCCTGTGCAGCTCATAACAGCCCCAACAGAAATCAGCTGAGGCATGCAGACAGCCTTTATGACAATGCTGTCAATTTCACTGACAAATACAGACCTTCCCACAACCTGCACCCAATACATCCACCTTACTTTGCTTCTTTCAGAATGCTTTACAGGATGCATTCACAATTTCACGCTCTTGATCCATAGGTGACCAAATGTACTCAGCCCCTCAGAAACACAACTTCGTGTAGCTTTGCTAAGGGGCATCTTGGAACCTCTTTATTCTACAACAAACCATAGGGCAGCAGTTTCCAGTACAGGATAAGCTTCCTGTTTGGCTATAAAGAACTGCAACGGCTGCAGCTTCTTAAAAGGAGAACACAAAGGCTAAGAGAGCAGCTTCACAACAACCGAGCCCACCCCACCATGCCCACAGTGCCATATTTCCACAGCTCTGAACACCTTCAGGCACGGTGACCACCCTACCTCCCTGTGCAGCTGTGCTCTTTCTGAGAAGAAACACCCACATCTAACCCTCCCTAGTGAAACTTGAGGCCATCACCTGTCACCTGTGAGAATAAACCTAAAGTTGCTATGCTCTCCTTTCTGTGAGTTACAGAGAGCAATGAGGCCTCCCCCTGAGGCTCCTTCTCCAGGCTACACATGGGTATATACGGCTACATGGATATAACCACTGACACCTTATTAGCAACAATTACAGGGAACGCATCAAATCTGCTTGCTATGAAGGGCGGCAGCTCGCCCTGCCCAGGAAGGCCCAACAAGGCAGCCTCCCCTCCCCACAGCCTCACTACCTTGCTGTGCCCCGCGGCCCTGCCCGGCAGCCCGGCAGCCCTGGCCCTGGGGCTGGGCCACTCCTCGCCGATGAGGGACGTTCGCAGGGAGGCTTTGTTCAGCTGCTGCACGTAGAGGAAGAGCAGGAAGCGCAGCGTGTCCACGGAGAGCTGCCGAGAGGGGAGAGGCCGTTAGGTGTCGCCGGCCGCCCCGCGCCCGCCCCGGCCCCGCGCCCTGCCTTGCCGCGCTCCCGCTCCAGCTCCTCGGCGCTGCCACACGCCGCCTCAGCCTCGGCGCGCTGCAGTCGGCGGGGCGGATCGGGCGGCGGGAGGAGGTCGTGGAAGCGCTCGAAGTAGAGCCAGGCCAGGTCTCGGCCCAGCTGCAGCTTGCCGCAGGCGATGTGCCGCCATCGCGGCCAGCTCAACCGCGGGTAACAGCCCTCGGCCGCCCGCGCCCGCGCGTACGCCGCCATCTTGCGCAGGTAGTGGGGGCCCAAGCGGGCTGGCGGCGGCACGGGCAGCGCGCCCAACAGCAGCGGCTCCGTTCGCGGCCACAGCGCCGCGGCCGCCGCCATGACGGCCGCGCGAACCAACGAGAGGACGCTTCCCGCCCGCCCCTCGGGAGCCGCTCGCCATTGGCTACGGGAGCCGGCGCGGAGGCGGGAAGAAGCGACGCGCCTCGCGGTTGGTCGGCGTCCTCTCCTTCCGACTCTCTGCGACGCGATTGGGCCGCGCCCGCGAGGCGGTGGTGAAGTGTGCGCGGGCGATTGGCCGTCAGCTCGAGCCGCGCGGGGCCGGGCCGCTCCCCAATGGCCGATGACTACGGCTGGGTCGCTCTCTCATTGGCTGGCGACGGCGGCCGGGCGCCGGCTTCGTGTGTGAGGGACGGGGTGCGGGCGGCGGCCTCCTCTCGGCCCGGCTATGGCCCTCGGCTGGCTCGGCCGCGTCTGTCTCCTCCTGCTCTGCCTCTGCGGGGAGGCCGCCGCCGGGTGAGCGCTCCCCTGGGGGCTGCCCTTCCCTCATCCCCTTCCCTTCGTCCCCTCCCTTCATCCCGTAGGCCCGCGGCTCTCCGGCGCCCGGCCCGCTGACGGGGCCTTCCCGCTCTCTCTCTCTCCCCCCTCAGGAGGGATTTCTATAAGATCCTAGGGGTGTCCCGCGGCGCTTCCGTGAAGGACATCAAGAAGGCGTACCGCAAACTGGCGCTGCAGCTGCATCCCGACAGGAACCCCGACGACCCGCGGGCCCAGGAGAAGTTCCAGGACTTAGGAGCTGCCTACGAGGTGGGGGAGGAGGGCTGGGGGTGGCACTGAGGGCAGCGTGGTACAGTGCTGTGAGTGAGGCTGGGCCTGGCTGGGAGGCACCCAGCCTGTGACTGTCAGGGCAATGCTCAGCTCCAGAACGGCTGGGATGAGTTCTAGCAAACAGAAATGACTCTCTGTAGGGCACTGTTGTCATCCTTCCTCACCTGTTGAATCTGTATTGAATTTGAGGTGTGGTAGCTAGTAACGAAGCAAAGAGAGGCTGCCAAGCTGACCTGGGATATCTCTTTGTTTGAGAGCAATAAAGGGCAGCAGTTCACCTACCTGAGGGAGCATGGAGTTTGAGCTGTTTGATCTTATTAATAGCTCTTTGAGTGTGAAACGGGCATGCATCAGCTGGAGTGTTGGCACAGGAACCTGTCTGTGTGTATGTGTAGAGAGTGGCTGTAAGTTCTGGCTGGTAGGAAATGAAAGGCTGTTGGCTTGCCTTCTAGTAAATGTGGTAAGGGATGAAAAATCGTTGCTGGAGTCCTGTATGCATAAAGAATGAGGTGCTGGAACAGCTGCCCAGAGAGGCTGTGGATGCCCCATCCCTGGAGGTGTTCAAGGCCAGGTTGGATGGGGCCCTTGGCAGCCTGGTCCAGTATTAAATGGGAAGGTTGGTGGCCCTGCATGTGGCAGGGGGGCTGGAGATTCATGTTGCTTGAGGTCCCTTCCAACCCTGGCCATTATGAATTCTGTTATATCTTTGCTGAGGCATAGCATCTAAGTAATAACTTATACTTCTAGCATTATATGCTACGTAAATCACATATAAATTACCCAACACTTAAATCAGAGTCTGTTTTTCCTCTTCTGTGGATGGTGGGCTGTGTTTCCTTCATGTTCTCTGTCCTTTTGCCTTCCATCTCAGAATCAAAGGGGTTGGAAGCGACCTCTGGATGCCATTTAGTCCAACACACATACTAAAGCAGGTTCCCTACAGTAGGTTGCACAGGAAGGCATCCAGGTGGGTTTTGTACATCTCCAGAGGAGGAAGGGGACTCCACAACCAATCTGAGCAGCTTGTTCCAGTGCTCTGTCACCCTCAACAGTATAGGGATTATTCCTTGTGATTGTATGGAACTTCCTGTGTTCCAGTTTTTGCTCGATGCCCCTTGTCCAGTCACTGCACACCACAGAAAAGAGCCTGGCCCCTTCTGTTGCTGCTGCTTTCTTTCTGCTTCCCCTCATGGAGCAGAGGAAGGCTCCAGAGGAAGAGAGTTTTGACCCAACAGAAATGCACAGGAGCAGCTCCACCAGGACCCTGCCCAGGCTGGCCCTTTAGGTAGGAGGTTTGTGCTGGCTTTGAGGAGCCAGGCCATAGGACAATCTGGATCCCAGTGTTATCTTCAGGAGGAAAGGAGGTTTCTTCCTGCCCAGTCTGATGCTGTGGTTGAATCTGTGGCTCTGGCAGGGCTCCTGCTGTCCCTGATGCTGCTTTCTGATATGTAAATCTAAAATGAATGAGGAAGTGAGGTGAGAAGCAGCTTGAATGTATTCCTCCTTGCTCAGAAGAACATTTTTTGTGTGTGTGTCTTATAGCTAGAACTCCTTTTAGTTCTGACTTCTAGTCTTAAAAAGTTGGCTTAGCTCTCACAGCAAAGTTGGTGAGTGTAAAGAATTCTTTGGTGGGAGATCTAGCATTTACCATCTCTGACTTGAAGGCTGATGCATTCTGCGTGCTTCAGCTGTGGGCTGAGTAGTTTATGTGAGCTGGGGGCTTGTCACACTTGGCAGTGCTTAATGCACGGGGAACATTTCTCTGTGTGTCCAGAGTCCCAGTTTATGTCTTAGCCACAGTAGCAGTTGAAAGGATCTTTCCTACAGAGAAATGCTGGGGAAGAAACAGCTGTAGAATCACAAAGCAGTAGAGGACGCAGTGGCACGGGCAGCAAAAGCTCTTTTGAGTGGTGACAGTCTACCTTCCTTTCCCTTACCAAAGTGCTACTGAAATACAGAGCCCGACTTGTTCAGCATAAAATGTGGAGTTCTGTTGCTAACACAGACAAAACAAATACAACATGCCTTCCCCTGAACTACTGTTGTTTTTACCATAAAGTCTCAGGCTCCATGCTGCTACTCAAGATTAGTCTTGCTGACTGTCTAGAGAAAAGTCTTTGGGGGAGGGTGAGGGGGGGTAAAACAAGTGAGGGGGAGAGTAAATTAAACTACTCAGTGTCCTTCACTTAAACAGCCTGATTTGAACCCCTCAGCTTAACAGATGTTTCAGTTTCAGAGGCTCCTTTATATAGCAGCAGTTAATCTCAGGGTGATTTTCACCTTCCAGGGGCTGGAATCTTGTTTTTGGTTTTCAGTTTATCTGCTGAATTGCATTGCTTTTGAAGCAACCTAAAATAAACAAGAACTCTCTTTACAGAATTTAGAGTGCTGTGTTCTTAAACCTCCTGAAGCCTGCTAAGGAAGCAAAGTGAATGGAAAAGCAAATATTTTGTACTCTTTATTCCTTTCTTTCTTGTAATATTGTTAGTAGTCTACTAATGGATTGTGGAACTTATCCCAGTTTTCTCAGATGGGTGTTGTATTGCAAATCCCAGGTGGCAAAGGGAGAACTGAGCTCTTACATTTAGTCCTGGGAAGGTGAAGCTGGTAGTTAGAGTCACTGTTGTGTTTTTCTTCTACCTTTCTTGCTGCTGCCATTTATCATTACCTACAATTTGAGGCTGGCTTTCATCATTAAGCCATCCTCTCCAGCTCTTTCCACTCCTCTCTGAAAGCTAACATGGCATCTTGAGCCTTCCAAAAAATAACCAACAGCAAAGGGAAGGAAGGCAAAATCTGACTGGAAATCTGTGGAGTGGTGACCAAAAGCAAAAATAATACCTAGGAATTAAAACTGAAGCTTTATGATCTTGTATGCTGTCTAGTGGGATGTGTTGCTCTGCCTCAGTACTGAGATTGCTCCTGAATTTTGCTGCCCTTAGGAACTGAGTCAGTGATGAAGTTGCTGTGGAATTATTGTACCCAGCAGGTTCATCCTGGGAGGCAAACTTGCCATCATAGCTAATAGTTGTGAAGTATTTGTCAGATAAATGCTTTCCACATGCTTTAAGAGCAGAGGAACCAGGGCCCTGTTTTGTGTTATGTGCTTTTTGTCTTCTCATGGAGGAGCAGTTCCTGCTTTGTAAGAAATGATTTTGAGTTGTTATTCCTTTCTGAGTCTCTCTCAACTCACTCAGAGTAAACTCAATATTTTTTATATCCTCTGTGTTGCATCTGTTGTTTTAATAAATTAATTCTATCTTTTATGAACTTAACCAACGCGTGTTTAACTTCCCAGCACAGCAGGCGAGTTCCAGCCAATGCTTTTGCACTGTAAAGCACTGCTACTTGTCCCCCAGCTAAGAGCTCTGGCAAAGCTTCTCTTGGAGCTTTGTGTAAGTATCCAGGTGCCCCTTGGGTGAACACCCTGTTCTTTTGTGTCCCTTTGCCAGGTGCTGTCAGATGAGGAGAAGAGGAAACAGTATGATGCGTATGGTGAGGAGGGGTTGAAGGATGGGCACCAGAGTTCCCATGGAGACATCTTCTCACAGTAAGGAGGTTTTGCCACTTTGAGTTATTCCACAGAGCTTTAATTCTGTGATCCTTGGGCATGCATTTGATGTGGGATATTCCACGTGTTGTTCCAGCAGTTTGTCTGGTGTCTGTTGGTCCTTTCTCCAAGAGCAGCAAATGGAAACCAGTGTTGTCTTCTCATATAGCTTGATTTTCTTAAGCAAAGAAATCTCTTCCAGGCACCCATTGCTCCTGCCTTGGGTAGCTGTCTTCTTGGTCAGAATTCCCTTCCTGAACTAACTGTGTGCTTCTCTCCAGCTTTTTTGGGGACTTTGGGTTCATGTTTGGAGGTAACCCTCGCCAACAGGACAGGAACATCCCTCGGGGCAGCGACATCATCGTGGACCTGGAGGTTACACTGGAGGAGGTGTATTCAGGAAACTTTGTAGAAGTACGTTTGCTGGCCTATTGGTCTCTGCAGTGCTACCAAGTTTCAGATAACTGGCCTTGCTGCTGCTTGTTTGAATCTTCAAAAGAATAGAACTAGAATAGATGCTTGTTTACATGGTATCTGGTAGCTGAGGATGTCATGAAGCTATTTGTTAGTAGTTAACTGAAGGAACAATGTGTTTATTTCTTTGCTATCTGGCAAATTGCCTTAACAATGTTTCTTGTGATATTAACTTACTGGCTGTCAGTGCCTAGCTAAGAAAATTCTGTTTCCTTTAGCTCTCGGTGGTGTTTGAGGCCCATTCATAGACTGAAACACACAGCTTAATTTTCCTATTTTCAGCCATTCTTGGAACACCACGCTGTGCATTTTTCACTGCTTCTTTATGGCCAAACGAGTCACTGAATCTCTGGATTACATGCTTAAACATATGGTGGCCTTTTAATTTTCTTTAAGCAAGCTGTGTTTCTGGTGCTGACAATCTTTGCTAACTCCAATACTATGCATTAGAGTTTATGTTGCTTGAGTCTGCGTTACACATGTCTGGATAAATGAGGAACTCAATGTGTATATAACAGTATGTATGTGGTACAGAGAAGTTATCATAAAAGGTGTCAGTTAAAGAGATGTACATGGATAGAGAAGGTGGCAAAAGGGATTTTCTGGTAACTGGGCATTTCTTGTGTGATTAGCAAGAGGTGTAAGGTGAAAACAGTGCAGAGTGTGTTTTGTTTTGGTTTTTTGTGCACGTGATCTTGAAAGAAAAAAACAAATTGCATTCAGATTGAGTGATCAAGAGCTGGGGTGCTGGCCTGTGTGCTGGTGTCAGCTTCTTCCTCTTTGCTGCAGGTTGTCAGAAACAAGCCAGTGGCAAGACAGGCACCTGGCAAACGGAAATGCAATTGCCGGCAGGAGATGAGGACCACACAGCTGGGCCCCGGGCGTTTCCAGATGACTCAAGAAGTTGTTTGTGATGAATGTCCCAATGTCAAGTGAGTTGTGCTCTTCAGTGCTATATGCTGTTAGTTCAAAAACCTGCCACCAGAGGGAGAAGAGCGTCTGTACGAGTGGGAAGATGGGGGGAATTTCAGAGCGCTTAACGCAGGCTTCTCATTTCTGAGGAGACAGACTTAATAATTAAAGTGGAAATGGGCAGATCTGTTAGATGAGGAACTTACTCAATTTGTAAATGAGTGAGAAAGGCAGCACTTGGCCTGCAGCTCTAGGTGTAAGCAAGGAGTGTGTGATTTGTGGGGGTGTTCTCATTCTCCAGTAGCAAAGCAGGTGCTACCACCTAATGCTGAAAACTGTGCTTGCGTATTCCCCTTTGCAGGCTTGTGAATGAAGAGCGAACACTAGAAGTGGAGATAGAGCCAGGTGTGAGGGATGGTATGGAATATCCCTTCATTGGTGAGGGTATGTATATGGGCAGTGCCCAGCTTGTGGCTTGCTTCTTTGCTTTAATACAAGGCTGGTCTTCATGGCAGTGTGAAAGGGGCTCTGCTCTGCTCTAGGTAAATGATCAGGACACGTTATGTGAAGTTGGTTTTTTTTTTTTCCAGAGTGTGCTGCTCAAATCCAGTACCACAGTCTTTGCAAGTCTGGGTAACACTCCTGAGATCCTTTCCCTTTCTTGCTACAGAATACACAAAAAAAAAAAAAAAGAAAAGAAATGAAAAAGCCCTAAATCTTATATTTCAGATGATAACTTGAACAAGAACATTTGTTTCAGACTTCAGTATGTGAAAGAATCCCTCCTGTAGAAGGAGTTTATGTCCTTTAATAAGTAATGGATGGTTATCATTGCTGTATGGGCAGGTCTTCAGAACAGCAGAGAGGGGTGAATTGGAGGGAATGCTGGAAATCCTAAACTGTTTAGCAAAAGAAATACGTGTAAGCAGGGTTTTAGTCACATGAGAAACAAGCAGTTGTTTTTCTCCCTTTGACACATGAGCTGCAAATCCCTATTGTGTTTAATATGCTGCTTGCTTCTTTAGCTGTTTCTGACTGGATAAACAGCTCTTCTTCCTCCACAGGGGAGCCCCACGTGGATGGGGAGCCGGGTGATTTGCGTTTCCGAATAAAAGTTCTCAAGTAAGTGCCTGGCCTTGTTGGACCACTCTTTCAGGTTACTATCAAGGAAGCCTGCAAACAGCTTTCTGGCTAGTGTTGCTTGGCTTGTGTCTAGTTTATTCTTCAGTGCTGGTACAGCCAGGGCTCGGGTATTCAGGGCAGTTCAGGATGCTCAACCCTGAGGATGCTAGAGAATTCCCTGCTGTTAGGATGATGCAATGATATTCCACTTGTGTTTCCCTTGAATTCTGGCATAGGTTAGCTGCTGCCTGAATCACAGGGGATATCTCCTTTTTCCGTAAACATACTATCTCCCTATTGTCAGAAAATGTGCTGGTAAGAAAGGCTGGGTGAGTCACAACTTGACACTCCTTGCCACTCACTGCTCTAGAAATAGAAAGGCTATTAGTAGCACTCTTGCACACAGGAAAACAAAGCTAAATTTCATTCGTTCTTGACTTCCTGTCTGATTTCTGTGAAGTTCTCCCAACTCTTTTCACAAATGGATGGGAGAAAGCTGGAGGAAAACTACAATCTCATTTCTGCAGGCACCCAGTCTTTGAAAGAAGAGGAGATGACTTGTATACAAACGTGACAATCTCGCTGGTCGAGGCACTTACAGGCTTTGAAATGGATATAACCCACTTGGATGGGCACAAGGTGAGGAAAAGATTTGCTTTCCTGCTCTATGTAAATAAAATTTAGCTGCTGGCCTTTTGTGGCTGCCTTTGTTAGAGGCCTCCAGAGCAATTTATTCAGAATCAAAGCAGGCCTTGCACAAGAGGTGCAAGGTGAGGATCAAGGTTCCAGCCCTTCAGAGTAGCATGTCTTGTCTTCAGTATCCTGGCAGTAATGCTGCCTGGTTCCTTTGGATATCATTGACTTTGGTGGGGAATCAATATCAGCTGGAGCTTTCCAGTGGGCTGCAGAGGACATCTGAGGGACTGAGATGCATGCACAGAACAAAAGCAGCATTCTCAAATTTCTTTTGTCTCTAGGTTCATGTTGCTCGGGATAAAATTACTAAGCCTGGGGCCAAACTGTGGAAGAAAGGAGAAGGTCTTCCAAACTTTGATAACAATAATATCAAAGGCTCACTAATAATAACGTTTGATGTGGAGTTCCCCAAAGAGCAGTTGACAAGCGAACAGCGAGAAGGTGGGTGTTCTAAAGCTCTGTTATGGCTTAGGGCTGCACAGATATCTCACAGGAGCTGCTAAGAAGTTGGTGTAACTGTAGTGACCAGGAAAGACTTTCATTCCCATTTACCCCTTAAACAGCATAAGATGGTCGACCAAGTGCCCTGTGAATAACTTCCATTTTCTTTTGAAGCCTGCAAGCTTGGCTGCTGCATTTGTAGGGAATAGGATTAGGTTAGGATGTGCCACTACTGGGATGTTGCACTTGACACTACTAGCAGTGCTGTGTTCTGTAGCTGGCCATCTGCCTGAACAAAGGGACTAACTGGGCTGAGCCCCTGTCTGATTGACCTTTCCTGGAATAAGACCACAGGCTGTTTCCTACTTTCTTGGAGTCTGTGAAAACTCTTCTACAGTCAAGGGTGAGCAGTGCTGTACAGCACTGGGTAGGGTTTGTGCATCCCTGCATCTCCCTCTACCATACATGCTTTGTGCATGTGTAGGAAAGAAGTGTGCAGTGAAGACACATACACCTGTTTTGTAGTAGAGATCAGCATCAGTGCCAAAATGGAAGCTCTTGAGTGAAGTGTGTGGAAATCCTAATGCTGTCAGGAGGATAAATACTATGCTCCTAGCTGGAAATTGATCTCTGCTTTGTCAGCTTTTGCAGTGGGTTCTGCTTCTCTGCTCAAGGCATCAGAGTAGGTCAAGGAGCCCCATCCTCTGCTGTGGGGCAAAGAAGTTCCTGCACATAGCAGTGCAGCTCTCCTTCAGAAAATCCTGCTTCCCAGCTTCTTTCTGCTGGTCAGAAGAAGGTACGATCACCCTGAATGTGCTGTCTTAGTTGATTCTGGCAGCTGTCCTGCTAGAGGGAAGCAAACATGTAGCTTTCCTGAGCTCCTCAAATGTAGAGGGCAGCCAAGCCTTGGGTGGTCTCTTCTCAGCACTTCCTGCTGTGTTGCCGCTGCTGTGTGAGCTACTAATTGGAGATAGAGCTCCAGGGTGACCAGTCATCTGCAAGCTTATTCTCTTGCAGCCTTTCTACAGCTATCCAGGCTGGAATGTCTTTGTATTAGTTCAAGGTCTTTTGCTTCCGCACTGCGCTGCTCTTCTCAAAGCTGCATATGGCAGTAGCACCTCTCAGATGGAACTGAGATTTTCCAATCTGCTGCTCTCGGCAGTTTGAGAAAAAATTGTGGGCTAGAAGCAATGGCAGAGTCCTGTGTGATTGTCAGAACTGCTGGCTAGCCTGCCCAGGAGGGTGGTACACACATGAGCATGTTCAAGCACAGGGCCTTTGGGTGTTTTTAGCTTCTGCAGAAGCAATGCCATCCTTCCTGGGGAAAGGTGACTGGGTAAGCAGTCAGATGCATTCTTGTGTGCTAGAATATCTCCAAACACGTAGGGATTTAAGGAGTTTTATGAGGGAATAGCTCTGTTCGTGCTGTGTGGCTGCACAGTGCGTGCACAAGAGGAAGACTGCAGGCCTTGGCATTCAAAACATCCCTTTCTCTTATTGTTGGCACTGTTCCTAATTTCTTATCTCATAGCCATATGGATGGCTCCTGGTACAGTTGGAAGACACTGAGAACACAACCCTGATGCTCTAGAGTCAGAGAAACATCAGGCTCTTCTCTATCTGGGTGGTATCAGGGAATTTATTGCTTGGTGATCAGTAGTGACCTCTCTTGTCTGTAATCCATCGCTGCTGGGGTTTGTTTGTTCTCCATGTTTTAGTGCTCAGCAAGCAGGAGCAGGCAGTAAAGTGCCCAGGTTGTGTTGTGACCTGTCACCAGCTCGTGGTGTCAGGAGGAACTTCAAGCTGGCTCCAGTAAATGCCTGAGAGCACATTAGAACCAAATACCAGGATTCCTGGCTGTGAATACCAAGCCCCCAACGCTGGGCATAAATGCTAAAATTTCCTGTGAGCTAATGAGGTTATCCTTCAGGCCAGCACGCAGCTGCTTAAGGGCTAGCCAGCAGGAAACAAGGTACAACAGTGGTAGTAATGCCATGCTGTTCAGGGTTATTGGAGCTCACCTTTCTTCAGTGACGTCCTTCCTTTTGAAAGGCTGCATTGCCAAAAGACACATCTACTGACACAACAGCCAGGAAGTGGCTGTGAACTGGAAGTAGGAGGCTCTTTCCAGGACTGTTTTCCAGTATTTTGGTGGGGCTAAAGGCACAGTAGTTCCTGTAGACAGAACTGTGTAAGAGTAGACATGCAGGGCAAAGGTTGCAGGGAGGCACATCATCTCTTAGGCTAGTTTTTGTGAATGACTTGCATGTTAGGGGTTCTCTTCTATATGAGTGAGTTGATTTTAATAACTGGTTGTGCTTCTCCCTGCGTACGTGCCTTGCTTAAAGCTGATAACCACTGAGGTGTTTTTCTAGGCAGCCTAATCTGATCTGTTGTACAAATGTCAGCATCCAGCCCAGGACTTTTCACCAGGACTCTGGCCTCAATCCAGCAGGCTGATCTGAGGCAGGACAAATCCTGTCTTCTGTCATGTTGAGCTGCAAGCCAGCTGCCGGTTCTTGCTGTTGTGAAGCTGATACTGTTTTGGGGATATCCACTGGCAGAATTTGGTTGGGTTTAAAGCAACTTAGTGGGGTTCTATTGTTGCTGGGTTGTTTTGTGGTTTGTTTGTTTGTTTTTGCTGTTCTTTAAATTTGGAAGTTACCCATGATGTGAGGAGTTTAACCTCACAATCTCAGGTCCTGCCAGCCCCTGCCCAGCACGATCCTTTCAGGTGCTGATCAGAGCAGGGCTGTGCCATGACCAGGGCTGGGAGTCCTGGCTGATGTCAAAGAGGGAGTTCCCTCTGATTTTACCTCTGGAAAAAGTGCACAGCATACATTCTTGGCAACTTGCTTCCTCTGTGCAGACTTGACCCTTAAGTAGCAGTAAAGACCTGCTAGTCTTCCTCTGGCCATGCTAAGCCCAATAGAACAGATTAGCTATTATGGTTACAGTGCTGACTCACCTTCCTGTTCTCTTATCCGGCTCTGGTAAAACTTGAGTGCTGATAGGACATCAGGTCAATTCTTTAAAATGTTTTTTATGAATGGCTTTTCAGGAGCGGTGAGGATGGCACTTTGTTCCAGGCTGAATCCAACCCAGTGATGCTCCTTTAGACCCCTTTGTAACACAGTGGCTTTCAAACCTATAAATGCAGGCTTTCAGCAGGGCGCTATCAAGTCTGTAGATGCAAGTAAGAGAAACAAGCTTACTCTCTGGGGGCTACTTCTAGCAGTCAGCAGTATTCCCAGGCACTACTTATGAGTGTGAAAACCTCTCTTGTGTAGTTATTCATGTGAGATTCTGTAGCTGACAAGTTCAGGAGGAACCAAACATAGCCTTCCCAAACTCAGTGCTAGAGGATTTTTGTAGGGCTTTAAAGGGAGCAGAGTAGATGAGCTAAGCTACTGGAATTCAACTCTGGAAATGCTCATAAAGCTGTTTCTTGATGCAGTTGTACTTAAGATGACAAATGTGTTCTCAACTTCAATAGCAAAGCAGCTCTAGGAGTCAGCTGTGCAGATAGTTACAGCTGTGAGGATCTCGAGCTGGTGTGCTGGTCTCTGAGCTTGTAGTGAAAGAGATTTTTCTCCCTGGAGGAATTGGCTTATGGTTTGGTCCTATTTGGTCTTATTTCTGCTGGTGGGAATGCTGAAGAAGCAGGAGCGAAGCTGCTGTGCCTCTGAGCCTGGGGGAGATTCTCTTTGTTGTTTAAATGATGCTCGTGGTGTCAGTGTGTTTCTGTCATTCAGAAATGTGTGCTCGAGCTCAAGGCTGGTGCCACAGCGCCTGTGTGTCCGACCTGTAAATGCAATAAGCAGCACCTGCAGAGTCCTCCTTCTGTTTGTGCTGCATGGTAATGCTTTTGTTTCTCTTGCAGGTCTCAAACAGCTGTTGAAACAAGGCTCTGTGCAGAAGGTGTACAACGGATTGCAGGGATATTGATGTTGGTGGGGGTGAAAAAGGACTTTAATCACGAGTCAGCTCTGTTTGCAGTTCTTCCTCCTGCCCACTGTAGAATGGAAAACAGGGAGGGTGGGGTGATTGTTAAGGTATATATAATTTCTTTTTTTTTTTTTTTTTTTGTAAATGGTGGAATAGTTCAGATGAGTTGAGGGAGGGGGGGGAAGTCTCATCTTTCAGGACACAATGGGTGCTGCTTATCGTGTTCCGTGTCCTGGAACAACAAAAATTCCTTGTGCAGACAGAAAGGGGGGAAAAGAAGTTTTAAATTCCACACAGATTGGAATTCCTGGTTTTTAAATATATTTTGATGTGACTTTTCTCGACCATCTCAGCATATTTTCGTAGCTTCTCCTCTTTTGTCCTCCATGTTGATCTCTGGGTTTTTTGTTTTTTAAGTTTGATTTAAATTCCAGATCTTCTTCCCCTTCACCTCTGAGTCCAGAGTGTGGCACTGCTTCAGAGTGAGTGCTGCTTGGGCAGGCATGCAGGTGCTGTTGGGGGTGGGCTGGCAGGAGGGCCTGTGCAGGACATGTTAGGCCCATGTGTGGCTGGGAAAGCAGGGGAAGGAGTTCCTGAAAGCTCCTGTGCGCTCTCCTAGCTACAAAGTAAGTCTTTTGTCCCAAAAGTCAATGCTCAGTTTGAATTCAGAGTTACAGCAGCTCAGCAGGGACTCCTTGGACTTTCAGCATGAAATTTTGGGGAAAATAATGGGAGTGGCTCCTCGTGGTCTTCATTCTTTCTAACCCCTGAGTGTAACCAACAGCTTGTCTGCTCAAGTTTATTTCCCTCCTGCACTCTGTCCTCTGTGAGGACAGGGAAAGTAACAGTGCAGAAATAAAGGTGTTTGAGTTGGAATGGCAAAACCTCCCTGCTCGTGTATTTCAGCAGCCCTTACTCTGCTACAGCTGCAAGTCGTTGGGCTCGTGATCATCTTGCTGCAAGCTGCCACGAAGGGTGAAACTACTGCTAACACCAGCAAAAGCTCTGCAGCTGCTTTAATTGAACCGAGGGCCCAGCAGCTCATCAGGGAGGGACCTGTGCTGCTCTGGTGTCTGCCGTGAAGGCGCTGCTCCTTTAAGCATCCTTGTCAGAAATGCTCATCTCTGCATGTTATTTGCAAGAACTTTGGGAGTGGTAACTAAGAAAGTTCCCAGAGGTGCCTGCGTCACTCAGCCTCGTGCTGCTTTGCTGTGGCAGGGATGCAGGCAGCGAGAGAGATGAGTCAGTTGTTGGTGTAGGATGCTGCTCTGCATCTTCATCCCGTGCTCCTGAGGGCTGTGAAATGGGGTGGCTGCTGCTGCTGCTTGATTCCTCGTTCTCTGAGCTGGGAAATAGATGAGATCTGCTTCTGAACAGGGAAATGCTTTCTGGGGAGCAGCAGCAGGAGACTGGAAGTCGCTCTTTGGCTTTTGTTGCTAAGGATTTTCCTTTGTTTTCAAGTTAAAGCAGCACGGGTCTGAACTGGGTGAGGTGGAGAGCTGTGGCATTGTGCTGCCATGGTCCAGCTGTGTCCCACCCAGCAGCAGCAGGAGCTGACGCAGTGAAAGCAGCAGCACTGGGGAGGTTTCCTGCTGGATCCTTTGTATATTTGCTTTGGCAGAACAAAGTGGGGAATTAGGGAAGCCAGGGTGCAAAACCCTCAGTCTCAACTCTAGTCTTCCTCTAAGTCCTCATTAATGCTTGGTGTTAATCCTGGCTGAGACTGCTACCTAGAGCATCAGCCTGTTTGACCTGCTGTTTCCAGGTCCCTGTAGGCAGCTCTGCACCCCGCCTCTCCCCTTGGCTCTGATTAAGAAACCTTAGATTCCAAAGGCAGGCACACCTGTTAGGGCTGCACTGGTTCTTGTCTCAGTGTGTGCTACGAGGGTCTATTTGCTGACAGCTGCACGGCCTGCCTTCCTTCCTACCCCAACCAACATGGCCTGTGCTGCTGGTACAAAGATAAAGCTAAAAACTAGAGCCAGGTCTCAACTTCTGTGCAGGAGATTTTGGCTGTGGTGAAACCCTTCCTACCCCCACCCCCAGCAGCAGGCAGTGCATTTATTCTGAGCGCAGCTCCTTCTTCCCACCGCTGCTTTTTCTTTTCATGCTAATTCTTTTCCTTCCTGTAGGATGTTTTTCCCTTTCCATTGTGGATCAGTGTTGCTCTGAGAGGCCGGTGCTGTGCCGAGCGGCAACGATAGCTGCCAAGCCACAATATTTGCCAGTGTGAGAGCAAAGCACAAGTCAGCAGAGAACGGCTGCATTGTTTGTGGTGCAGGTAATTCACTGAGACGTGATCCAAGAAGAGAAAGAGAAAAAACCTCAAATCCTACCAGGCTTCCTTCCACCTTCTTTTCCCTGCTGCGTAGTGTGCAGTTGGGATTTGCTGCTGTCCCTGCCTTCAGACGAGCTCCAGGGTTTCCGTGCTGTCTTTCCAGGAAGCTGTGTGCTTTAGTGCTTGCTAGGCTATTGTTCAAATGTTCCACTTTGGGTTTTGCTCTGTTGGCAGCAGGAAAGTCCAGCACCTTCAAGGATCACAGAAGTTGTATCTGCCCCCTGTGATCCCCGGGTTCTGTGGCAATTGGTGGCTGTGAGTTACTGCCTTCTCTCCCTCAGTAAGGCTTAACCAGTGTGAGTGAGTCATAGCACACGTGGACTGCTTGATCTCACACAGCCTTGTGCAAGGCAAGGACCAGCCGTTCAGATGCAGGGATGTTCAGTTCTTTTATCGAGATGCTTGTCCTCACAATGTGCTTTTTAGAGAAGCTCTTGCCGCTTTGAGAAGGGTGTATTTTAAAAAGCAAACGGTTATTGCCTGCCCAAAACAGGATCCTGATTTACAAAGTGAATACTTCTGATCACCTCCAAGTTGTATGTTCTTCCAGGGTCTAACCACAGGCTCCCTCAGCTCTAGTTGAAGATCCCACTGCTACCATCAGTGCTTTGTTACTACCCCCTGGCTGCATCCTGCTGGCTCTGGTTAGGCTGAGGACTCCACATCCACATCAATTCTCAGCTGTCCTGCAGGCTGTCCTGCTCCCTGTTCCAGCAGGGAGGCCAGGAGCAGGTAACTGCAGCTCTTCTTGCCAGGCAAGCGAGTACGTTCCTCTGGCTTACTGCTTTTGAAGAGGTAACTGGGCAAATAGTCCCTTCAGTTCTTGTGGGAGAAATATCTCTTGTAAAGCATTTGTGTAGGGAGGGAAAGGACTTCTCACTGTAAATGGTTACGCAGTAAAGTCTAAGGAAGCACTAAGCAACACGGTGGGAATGTATTCTGCTTGGAGATGTGCAACCTCAACTGAGCAGAGGTGGATACCTGTTCTTGCTCAGCCAGCCTAGGTACTACTGCTGGTTATTTGGGCGGCTTCCCTGTCCTGCAGTGCTCATCAAAAGTAGATGATGGTGAAATCATAGTGTAGGATGGCTTTTCCAGAAAGCGTTGTGACAGCCTGCGTGCTCTGAGGAGAGGGAAGCAACAGCTGCTGACCCAGCAGCCTTGCCCAGTTCTCTTGTCTCTCCGAGACAGGTTTGATGCTTGCAAAGCCTTGCTGCCCACCCTAGACCAGATGCTACGCTTTTGAGACCGTACACAGGAGATTTTGTGCTTGGTACGTGGGTCCTTAGCAACCATGTGGCCCCACAGGGCGTTTGTTCCTGATGCTCTTGGCCAGGAGAGAGCAGCTGCTGCCTTATTTCTCACTACAGCCAGTTAAACTGCTTGCACAGTGTCCCCTCCTCACCAAGTAAAGGCAAGGGTGAAAGTGTTCCCAAACAGCAGCTTCTCCTCCATGGAAACTTCTCTGGAAAGGTTGTGTGGGCTGGCTTTTTTTTTCCCTCCACGAAGAGTTTGTTATTCTAAAATACTTATCTGTATCTAAACATATTTTTGAGAGACAGGCAGTAGAGGGGAGAGGGAACTGCCGTCCTAAAGGTGCCCAGGTTTGCAGCGTTCCTGGAATCCAGCTGTGTGAACTTATCTGGGGACCTCTGGTGTGGGGCTGGACAGGAAAGGAAGGTGAAGTGGCAGTTCCTTACTGTTGTTCTTTTCAGTGATGTTTTTAGGTGGTGTTTGGATAGCAGCCGCTCTGCTCCAATGCCACAGAGCTGAGCTGCTCACTCAGTCTTGCAAGGCTTACTCAGACCAAAGCTTGTCCCACCCAGGGACGGCCCAGCTGTGGCTGGCAGGGAGGTGCAGTAACTGCCCAACAGCTTCTGTTTGCCCAGCTGCCACATTGCTGAGCTCCATGTTGACTGTGGCCAGAGCCCAGCTTTTGCCTCTTATTTCCTCCAGCTGTGCCAGGCACACTGACCTGGGAGGCGTTAGGAAAGAGAAGAGGGCAGTGATAGGAGCTGGGCATCCTCTCTGTGGGAGGGATGTGTCAGCTCTGCCTCTTCTGCCTAAGTATTTCCAAGGATCTGCCTGCTCACCCCTGGCAGCAGGAGGCTGACAGGCAGAGGAGCCTCCTACAGAAGGCAAATGCAGAAGTAAAAGGCATAATCATGGCAGGGTGGTGGATGAAGATCTGCTTCCGAAGATTCCCCAACTCACCAGGAGTCAAAAACACAACCAAAAAAGAAGTCCCTGCCTCTAGGAGGACTGTGCCTTATTTCTCTGAATGCAGCAAGCGTGCTCAGCCTGCTGCAGCAGCAGGGTTAAAATGGATGTCTGGAAACTGGGAATTCCACAGAGGAAAGCATCTGGGGCTGTCACAACGTGTGTGTGGCCTTTGAGGACAGTTCAGAGGAACGGGGCTGTTTAGTCCTGAGCAGCACTGATGATTGCAGCGTGGGCACTGAGTGCATAGAGTGTTTATTGTAAGGATAAACTCTTCTCGTCCTGGTGATGAGCAAAAAAAATGTGGCAGTTTGAGCTGAGGGAGACCTCAATCTGGTACCAGAAGGATGGAGGAACACCCTGTGTGTGGGGAGCAGGAGCGATGCTGTGGTGTGACCCCCAGAGGTGCTGTACAGCTCTCGCTCCCACCCAGCACCTCCACCCTCAGGGTGAGTGCTGATACTATGATCCCCAGTTCCTGGGGCAGCTCCTGGTGGCAGGCAGCCCCTTGTCCGCAGGGTGGGGGACAGACAGGACACAGAGCCACCAGCTGGGATGTGGGGCTGATGCCAAAATGCCGTTCCTCCCCAAAGGATGAGTGTGTCTTTGCAAGGCTATGTGTGCACACCCATGGGATGCATGTGTAGGTGAAGGGGAAACCCAGTCCCAGCCCGAGGGCATCACCTTACCCACTGCAACAACACAGCTTAGAGGCTGGGCTTATCTCAGCTGGCAGCAATAGCAGTATGAGTGATGGAAAGTATTTGGCAGGCGGAGAGAAAGGCCTGGTTTGCTCT